AAGGCATAACTTTGTAGCAGTATGTCCCTCGCTCGGTTACAAAAGAAGTTTTTTCTTCATCTGCCGGGTCCATAGGGATCTGATTATAACCTGAATAAGCGTCCAGAAAGGTTAAGCGTTCATACCCGGTGGTAGCATCCACCATTTGATCAATCTTTGGCAGCGGGAAGCTATCCTTCGGACAGGCTTTGTTCAAATTGGTGAAATCAATGCATACTCGCCATTTCCCATTCTTTTTCTGCACGACAACGACGTTGGACAACCAATCAGGGTAGTGTACTTCTCTGATAAATCCCGCATCAAGCAGCCTATCAACTTCCTCGGCTATGATTTGGTTGCGTTCTGGAGCAAATCTTCGTTGCTTCTATTTTACTGGTTTGAAATTGGGATTGACATTCAAAGAATGACAGGATACGGAGGGATTAATTCCAGGCATGTCTAGGTGACTCCATGCAAATACATCGGCATTGTGAGACAAGAAATCAGCTAGCTCTTGCTGCTCTTCCCTGGTCAGTCTTATTCCTACTCTGGTAGTTCGTTCTGGCCTGGACTGATCGATCTGCACATCCAGAATGGGCTCTTCGGTCAAGTCAACTGACCCCTCCACCCTGTTCTGCTTGGGCGGAGGTTCCTGTAATTGCTATCTGGGGCTTGCCGGTCGGACGGGCGCCTTTCCTTTCCCAGTATACTTTAGTGTGATGGAATAGCACTCTTTGGCTGCAACCTGATCCCCACGAATGTCTATTACCTTATTTCCATCGGGTCCAAGGCACCTCATGACCTGATGCAAAGTTGAGGGTACTCCTTGGACTCTGTGAATCCATCCTCTTCCCATCAGGAGATTGTACGAGGGGTGAATCTCTACAACCGTAAAAGTTTCCGTAAGAGTTTGTTCTGCAGCTTGAACTTCTACTTCCACCATTCCGACGGGCTCCACCCTCTTGCCATCGAATCCTAACAAGGGATTTCCAGTGGGCTTGAGCCTCTCTGGTTTAATCTCGAGCCGATCGAATATGTCCCTCGGCATGACATTTGCACTGCTCCCGGGATCGATCAGAACTCTGCGCACCAAGCAGTCCGCCACTGTCAAACTAACTACCAACGGGTGTTCATGGGGGATTTGAACACGCTGCAGGTCTGTCCTGTCGAACTTTATCTGTATCGATGTGATCTGCTGGTGTAGAGTATTCACACTGCTGACCCTTTTCTTCATCTGCGCCTGCCGTAGGCGCGCTCGGAGCAGCTCATCTGAAGCTTCGCTGGGCTCGGGTCGACTGTGGATAGCATTGATTATACGAACTGGTTGTGAATTATGGGAGCTTTGTTTATAGCTCCTTTTTACTTGTTCCATCGGTCGATTCTGCTCTGTCGCCGAGCCTTGAACATAACTCGCGAACTCCCCTCTAGCTATCAACATCTCCACTTGCCTTCTCAAATTCCTGCATTCATTAGTCTGATGACCGAAATCGGAATGGAAAGCACAATGTTTAGTCTGATCCCTCTGTTCGAGGGGTTGCCTAATTGGCAGTGGTGGATGAAACTTATCTTTGTTCTCCTGATATAGCCTCGTCAGAGTGACCTTCAGCGGAGTGATCAGCTCTTCCTCCCTGGACCTCTTTTCTGCCTTCCAGGAGGTCTGACGCTGCGGCTGAGCCTGCTTCTGCCTGATCTTTGCCTTGGACTTCTCCTCGGTCGACACGAGCGACGCTGTCCGAACATTGGCTGCCTCCTCTTCTTCTAGGCGCACAAAGCCGTCGGCTCTTTCATTGAGTTCATCCATAGTCGTCGGCGTGTTCACTACCAGACTGGTATGGAACGGAGTGCCACGTGTCATGGCTAACTTGAAGGCTTGAACTGCTGTAGAAGGGTGGCATTCGATCACCATACTCTTAGTGAGATTAAACCTGGTGAGAAAAGCCTGGAGACGTTCATCTTTGTGCTGTCTCATTGTGAATAGGCTTGAGATGTCCTTTGGCGGACGCTTGTTCCCATAGTACTGACTTATGAACCGATCGCACAGATCTCGGAAGCTACCAATGGAGCTCTTAGGCAAGTTCTTGAACCAGCTGAGCGCCGGTCCAGCTAGGCTTGTAGGGAAACATTTGCACATTAAAGCATCGTTTTCCGTATTCAGGGCCATCTTCAACTGGATATGGTACACATGATCGATCGGATCGGTTGTTCCGTCAAACAGAATAAATACTGGCATAGCAAACTTCCTTGGATGAGGGGCATTCAGGATCTCGTCAGTGAAAGGTGAATCAACCGTTCGAGCTGCGGATCGGAGCGCTTCATTCTCTCTTTGGCGCCCAGTGGTAGCTCTGTGGGCTACGGTTCTGCTCTTGGAACCGCGATGAGTGATTGTAGCCATGGAGGGCCGGTAGGACGGATCGAACGACCGTTCCTCTATGGGCTCTCTTTGCCAAGGCGACGCAACTTGGCGGCGATCAACCTCTATCACCTCCTCTCGGTTGAACCTTTCCCGATGCGGATATAAGGTCATGGCTTCATTCTGTCTGATCTGCTCATGTCGCGGATCAACGTGAGTCGATCCTTCGTGATCCTCAACTTGACGAGCATTTGGCGGCAAATCACGGTGGAGAGCTGACTGACTGTTCTCGTCCTGCTCGCCTTGATGCGCGATATTAGATTGAACACCTCCCTCTCCGGCCGGAGGTGGACGCGAAACCGCGGGCATTTGCTGATGTTGCATTCCAGCTTTCAATTCTGCATTCTCTTTTTTGAGAGCCTCGATCAAGTTCATCAACTCCTCAAGCTTTGTTTGCTGGACAGCCTCCATCGGATTGGAGCTTTCACCTATCATTATTCCTGAACGGAGTAAAGGCATTAATCTCAAGTTCGCGAGTAGATCCGAGCTTCACGAGTGGGAATTTTTCAGATCTGGTTTCGAATTCTCCGAATTATGCTCACGGTTGACGATATCTGAATTGTCCGAATTCTAAATCCGTCAGATCCTGCCACAATCGAACAACTCGTTGTTGCGTAGATCTGAAGCCACTTCTGCCAAAGCTTTAGGAACTAAAATTCCTCCAGAGTAGGTCACAATCGCTCAGATCTGGATCCAACTCCCAAAGATCGAGTCTCGATCCACCGAATTGGTCTGAATCCACGCGATATTAATCATTAATCAACCAATATTCCATGCGTTCCCACAGACGGCGCCAATTGAAGATACAAGAAATTCCTTTTCCCTTTCTCTCTCTAGAATTCCTGTATTTCAACCAAAAAAATATATCTCCTCCTTCTTTCCATTACTTCTCCTATTTATAGATATTTACAAATGTTAATGGACTGCTGGATCTAGGCCCGTTCCTCCATGAGTCCTGGTCATCTTTGGTGGGCTTATGCGCGTTCGGCCCAGATGGCAGTGTCTTTCTATGGGTCTGACCCATCTGTACGGACTGAATGTCGCATTTGCAAGTCATATCCGGCCCATGTCATCTCGGGCCTCCTCACAGTTAAATATAACCTCTTTTACAGCTCACTGATTCTTCTATTTTACACACTACGATAGTTAAAATGATAAGACCTGATGGACAGAAAACTAGACCTCTATACACTACTTCATCAAGCTAGTGTTTAGGACAAAATTCAAAGAATATATAAAGGTAAAGGACTCACGGGCCAAAACATTAGAGAATAGAATTTTTTTTTTTCCAAAGTAACCTGCAGATAGTTTTATTATTAGAAAGGTATGTCATCATCCTTTTCTTTTCTTTTTTTGTTAATGTAAAAATCTGAATTGTCAAGTCAAAATATTCCAAACTTGTGCAGGCAACCCACTTTCTTCAAATCAAAGGTAGACTCCAAGAGACAATCATTGTTTTTTTTGTTGAAAGTTTGCTCTACACACTGTTCGATGTACTCAGCTTTATAACTACATTGAAACTTCCAATTTTTTTTTTTTTTTTTTTTTTCGTCTTTTTAATCCAGCAAAGAGACAACAAGTCTGCAAAGTATAACATGAAAAAGCCAATATGGTCGGTGCAGATAAAAAATGTTATTGAGCGTTAACGCCATTAATAGATGTGTACTGGCCGGTATTATTGTGAAAGATTATACTCACCAACATATGGGTGAGTATCGGTATCGATAATTTAAAATTTGTTATGAATGGGCCGGTATCAAACCGGCCGGCAAGGCAAACACTAGTTATTGCATGTTATTGAAAGATTATTTGGCGTTGATTCCTTTTTATTATTACTTTTAAATATGAACTCATTTGTTGTGTTGGAATGGAAGTAGACTTTGAGTTTCAGTCACTGATTGTGTGATTTTTTTGGAATAAGAACCTGTCTTCTTACAATCTCAAGAGGAGAGGTTTCTGACTGGCTGCAATATGTCATTTATGCTTTGGGACTGAAGACACCAATGACCATTTGAGACTCTGCATTTTATAAGGCTTGGGCTTTTATTTTTTCTTGGTACTTCTTCCGGTGCCAACTGGAACTGGGTATTTTCATTATATCAGAATTTGTACATAAAGGGTATGCCCTCCTTTTCTAGCCATCTCATTGACAATTTATTTATTGGGTCGTGATGAAGAAAAAAAATTATTAGACTATTTTACGGATTGAATTAGAATTTAATTTTCATGTAAAAATCGGATTGGTTTAGATTTATGTCTAAACTGAACCTCCATGGCAAATAAGCACATTACTAATTTCTAGCAAATGAATTGTTTCTAAAAACCGTCCCTTTTTTTTTTTTGTTCCAAAATTGTTTGTTTTTTATTTTTTTTCAGCGCAAAACAAATGTATCAACAAAATTATTTGATTGTTTCCACAAACCGGCCAATTCCTTCGAATTGGCTTTTAGGATCTCAGCACATTTTTGTTAAATGACCAAATAAGCCCTTTCCAACAAACAGTTGCGCCCACTCCTGACCACACCCACAAACAATCCCATTCAATTCAAGATTTCGTTATCCGAAATCCTTCGCAGAGCATTAAATGTTTGCCACACACACTCCATCACATGTGCTAACATAGCCATCTATCCACAATCCTCCAAACAACCCATGAAAGCAAAACAGCTACTAGTTGTTCAGCGTCACAAGATTTGGCAAACTGTTTTTGCACAAAAATGATAACAACTGCCCAGTTCATTTCCTGTGCCAAGCCTCCAAACCCTCCCAATTCTTCAATTTCTCCTTCTTTACCGCCAAAACCCTCTCTTGCTTCATATCATTCTCTCACTTTTCTAGGTTTTAACAGCCTGCCCACCAAACCCCCTTGTACCAGGATTAAAGGTAGGTCACAGAGGGTCAATCTTGGAACAAATGCTTCTGGAGTAGAAAGTCCTTCCACAACTGATACAGAAAGATGGCTTCTTGAACCTGTAGGTCAGTGATCTTTCCCCTTTTGCCCATGTAGAAGTTGTTACAGTGACAGTTTGCTGCATTGGCCATATATGACAATATGTGTGTGTGGGGGGCATGTGTGGAAGTAAGAAAATTCATCCTCTTCCCCTATCTTCTTGGACTGGTCAGTAAATTTATTTGTCCTTTCAACCCAATCTATTTTCTTCTTTTCTCTTTTTCTGTAATTAGTTTTTTATTTTTTATTTTGATACTGAACTCTATGGTCTCCTGTTCAATTTACTGATATAGAATAATACATGTTCAAGTTTATTAAGTGGGTGCTTGAAATATGAATTTTCTTGCTTCTTTGTTCCTATCAAATAGGCTACTGCAATGAAAAGATACTAACAATCTGCAATTCTTCACAATCCTGAAATTTTTTGTGCTATCATATATTTACAAATATTGTTTGTTTGGCTGGTTTTTTTATTTATTTATTTTTTAGTCTTTCATGAAAATACTGAGAAGTTTATCTTTTCAATTCTTAATTGGGCTTGATTTGTATATATCTCCTTACATGCCAATCTATTGTTTGTGTTTTTTGTAAAGAAAAAAAAAAAAATCTAGAAAGTAATTACACTTTGTAGCTTTTATGCTTATTTAAACTGAGATAATTGTTTAAGACATGACAAGAACTATGTATATGTGTTGGTACTGAATAGGTGATGGAGACACAAAGCATATTGGTTTTAAAGTTGCAATGCCAAATGCATTTGAAATAGCTTCTGTAAGTACCTCTACTGTCATTTTTTTTAGTGATTCTTTAATTACTGAAGTATGCACCATGCTTACTGCAAAATTGTGGACATTCTTTAGAGCGTGGTGACCGTCGGACGTGTCCCCGAGAAAGCAGATATGGTAATTCCTGTTGCAACAGGTATCCAATGCTTCCATATTGTCATAAAATATTTGTGCTTCTCAGCCTATACACCAAAGTAAATAAAGTTTCAACTTTGTTTCAGCAAACTCAGATTGTTAAATGGTTTGAATCACTAACATAGTTCAATTTCCACATTTGGCATATTTTTCGTCATAGAGCTTGCAATGAAATGGTGAAATTTAGCATAGATCAGTGAATTTGATTTAAATATGATTCTAGACTTGTGATTAAGTTTTCTTTATCATCCTTTGTGAAATTGTGTGCTCATACAAATTTTTTTTTTTTTTTTGGAACTAAAATCAGTATCTGGTCTGCATGCTCGCATTCAGAAGCAAAAAGGGATTCTTTTGGTGACAGATTTGGACAGCACAAATGGTACATATATTGACGAAAGGCGGCTACGACCTGGTGCTGTTGCCCCTGTAACACCTGGAAGTGTTATTACATTTGGTACCAAGTCTCTTACTTAATCCTATCCATTTGGTTTATTTTTCTGCTTCTGAGGTGTTGTGGTTCAAATCTCCTAAAATATGTTGTTGAACATTGTGCTCTGCCTTATTGCACACCTTCTGAATCATAGGGAAAACTTCCCCCATACACGCACACAAAATGACTTAAATTCGTGATTTCCAGTACAAGGTCCTGCTTATGAACTCCACATTGAGACCCCATAGAGACTATGGCTGCTAGATGTTAATTATATAAGCACGCACATTTTTTGAAATATAATTTTTCTTTGTGAAATTGATCTTGATCAGATATTCTAATATTTTAGGATCTAAGCAGAACTGGGATTCTCACATCCAGTCTAAAATCCTTCACCCTGAAGAATTAATAAATGATGATAGTTGTTTCAATTAGAGGATCAAAAAGCTCCGATTCTTCTTATTTTTACCGTTCTAACCCTTCTCGATTTTTTGTGGTCCAACCTATCCAGAAAATCATCTGCTTCATAGTCATCATCAATACTGTGGTAATCACATGGATATTTTTCTGTTAACTAGTTCTAATATATGCCATACTCTCAACAAGATCTTTCCAAATGAGAAAATCATATATCTGCTCAACAGTAACTTAGCTCTTAGCTGTCCTGACTCAAATAAATGAATGAGCTCTTACTGAATTACATTAATTATTATGTGATGATTGTTCTTTTATTTCTTAAATATATTGTATGGATTAGAATTTCAATTAACGACTTGTACCGTTCAGTACATAGGTTTTTAGCACATCCTCTCATAAGATCACCAATTTAGAGCTCATTGGTATGGAGTACCATGGACTAGTTAGATTTTGGGACCTAACCAATTATTGTGATGTTCTAGGCATTATAAGTTACTCGGATAACATGGAGTTTACTGTTCCAACAGTTCAATTCAGTTTGGAAAAGAAATTTTCCAAAGATATTTGAGCGTAACCTACCAAACAATAGTATTCTGATTTCACATTTGTGGTAACAATTTAAGACCTTGGATGAATCTTCACTTATTTAGGATTGAGAGTGAATTGAATGATGGGTATTACAGATTCTAGAATGCAGGAACACCCCTTAAACTAAGAGAAAAACACACTATAATGCTGGAACTAGATGACCAAAATCAGAATTTATTGGCAAATGTCCTCAATGCATGTGGAACTTACTAGATTCGAGTTCACAAAAGGTCAAAAATTTGTCCGACGAATACAGAATTTATCCTCCTAAGCTGAAAGCAGGACCCTAGCTAGCAGCATCGGGCAAGCCATGACAGAAGCTTCTTGACTGGTTCTCTTGACAGCAGATGTAGAATGAACTACCAAATATATTTTAAAGTTAAAATGTCATGGGGGTCAATATTTGTTGATATATGCTATAGTAAGAGCAAACTTCATAGTCTATAGCTTTTAGAAGTTTCTCGTAAAGTCGTAAGTCTAGTTATTTAGCTTTCAACAGCTTAGTATCTGATTGACCATGAAGTACTACATATATTCTTCTCAACAAATTGCATTATACAGAGCTATTCTGTTTTTCTTCTGCTCAATTCACTGGATAGATTATGTAATTGAGTGCAGATTACTATGTAATTTTTCCTTAATCATTCGCTTTATGCTTAGGATATCTTTATTTATTTTTCATTTTTCTGTTTCAGAGGCTTTTGGACCATCTATTTTACATGTTAGAGCTGCTCCAATAAATCTACATCCTATTGTTCTTGAGCACTACCTTCTTCCCTATAACTTCACACTTTTTTTCAGTTGTTTTATTTCAAAAAAGTAAAATCCTTGGGATAATAGAAATAAATAAAGTTCATGAACTGGTTTAATGTGTTGAAAAGGCGGTTTAATGTGTTGAAAAGGCCATTCCATTGAATTTTTAGAATGTTTTTTCTTTAGCTTTGTGTTGCAACTCGAATTGGTTGAACCCCCGTGTTTCTTACCAAAGTTTCCATGGTAACTAAATCAGATAGTTGCATACATATTACTCAAACCAGTTGCATTAAAGAATCTGCACAATCACCAAATTGAAGTAAAATACAAATGGCATCATTTTCTCGAGTCCTAAAACGCATTATTTTAAACAATTGTCGACGAAAAGTAGCTCTTTTATTTGCAGCCAGCAACATGATGGGCACATTTCAAATGCAATACAAGGCTAATTCTTCGGAGATCTTTAGTTTCGATTGCTTTCCAAAATGCCCAATTCAAAATTGTCTTGACTATGTATTAAATTTATAATGTATGCCTTAAACTGTAAATTCATAAAAACAGTGTCTGTGGGCACAACAGTTATTCATCCTTCAACATTCAACTACCATAAATAATGAGAGTTTATGAACAACTATCCATTTATGCTACTTTTTAAGTTGATTTTCTCATTGCAGGTGATACCCATCTTGCCATGTTCCGAGTCTCAAAGCTTGAAAATGTGGAAGTTTCCGACGAATCAGAGGACTCCGAGGCCAAACCAGAGACAGAAGACCCCAGTGACAATTGAGAGACAAGAAGTTGAAATTTGGGGTCTTTTTTGTGGACAACACAGTTAATAAATGAATCAATGCATATATTCTACAAGGAAATTTAGTATTACTAGAGTGCCAGTTAATCTTCTAAGAGTGCTATGCAGATGAGCCAAAGCACACATTTTGCATCATGTTCAAAACTTAGTTTACAAGAAAATAAAAAGAGTGGAAAATAGAAGAATAATTTGTGAAATACTTTAAAAGTGAAATATCTATTCGACAGTTGGGATCATGTTAGACAGGCCTATTGATCTGTTCTTAAGTCACAATTATTCTAAAGTAGTGTCGTTTTTTCTCGCGCCTCCTCTTATACTTCGCGCTCTCTCGCTCTCGTTCTTACTATGTGTGACTTAGATTTTGTTGCTTTCGTCCTTATGCTCTCGCACTCAATCTCGTGGTGGATGCAGATATTTGAGATAAATGGATAGGAGAATGAACAAGTGTTGGATGGAAAAAGATCACCAGGCCATGTGATTAGATACTGAACACTACGAGTACCAATGATTTTATGCACCTGTTATGAAAAGCTAACAATTGTAATATCTGCCACTAGGGGAGATGTGATGGTCAGATGAGTTTTTCTTGTGTTTGGTTGGTGAGAATATGAAAAAATAAAAAATAAAAAATAAAACCTTTGGATTTTTTTAGAGAGAATGAGAGGAGTACGGTAGAGAAAATAAGAAGTTAGGGATGTCATAAATGAGTTATTTATCTCTTAATAATTTTTGTTGCTTTTTCATTTAGAAAAAAATTAAGAATATAAATGTCATTTTACACAACGCATGCATGTTTGGAGTTTTTGTAGTTTATATAATAAGTGCTTTAATGTAACCATGGTCTGAAATATTTATGTAACGAGAAATTTTTAATTAAAGAAATGACATTTTTGGAAAACATAATACTGAAATTTCACTCACTACTAACATGGATTTTTCATTAAAATTTAGCATTCAAATCACTGTCAAAAAAAGAATATGGTTCCAGATGGCAACCAAAACAATTATGAAAACAAGTCTGTTGATATCTTTTGCATTGAATATCAGAAATTCAAACTAGCCAATCCAAAACCGAAAATAAAATTGCGAGTCACCCCAGCAATTAAAAGATTCCTCTCCATTTAAAATACACATATATTCCTCACCCACAAAAGACCAAACCACTAGCAGCAGAAACATTCCACAAAATCTAGCAGTGTGAAAGTTTTAGAGCTACGAGCGAAATGACCCAAAAAGAGGAACATTTGAGTCGAACAGCGAGTCAAACTTTGATTAACCAATAAATGATGCTTTCGAGGATGTAAAATCTGGAAAAAGCCTATCGTCTTCGCATTCCTCGTCCACGACCAGGGAAACCACCTCGTCCACGACCTCTACCCATGGCCCCTGCAGCAGCATCTCCCTGTGCGCTCTCAGACTGCATTATCAACATAAATAGAAAGCATAAAAACGATGAAGATGACATTCATATACAAGAAAATCCATTTTTATACTACAAAAACCTCCCTGTGCGCTCTCAGACTGCATTATCAAAATAAATAAAAAGTATGAAACCGATGAAGACGACATTCGTATACAAGGAATTCCAATTTTATACTATAAAACCTAGCATGTTGCTTATATATACAAGCATCCAACTTTATACTTTACAGGGTAAATGGCAATATGCACGTAAATTGTATATGGCAACATAATTATATTAAGTGGACGTAAAAACTTTAATTGCATACAATACAATCAAGTAAAATTGAATATAACAGATTTGGAGACAATAGAAAATCATAACAAATACAAGTGGTTTTTTTTTTTTTTTGGGTCTTAATTCAGTATTCCCCATCACCATTCACTTTCCTTACAACTTCTAGCCATAACATCCACCCCGGCACACTTCATTTCCTCTCATCATAGCTGATGTGCATTATCCTCCCTTTGCCCTTTTTATTAAATTTCACAAAAGTTAAGGGTCCTATAAACTTCCACTAGCCATAGATTGCTTTCCTAGGCTACACCTTGCAAACAAAGGTGATTCTAGTTCAAGCAAAAGAACCTCAACAAATTACTCCTCTCCTACTACATCCAGCACACTTCACTTTCAACAATCGCCACTCATTAATTCAGATCATTCCCGCATGGTTTAAGCTGCAATACTCCAAAACGTGACCATAAGCCAAGATCGATTCATCGTACGCAATCTCCATCCAACAACCACATGGAAGATTGGTGTTCATTTAATAAGGCCCGCTAACTAAAAGGGCTCCAAAGAAACCCATCTAAATGAATTGACAATGAAACTGACAAAGACACGCCTGGTATTTGAAGGATATAATGTTCATCTTCAATTAGCAACAAGAACTTCTAAGCTGTCATAAAATATTCATTAAGTAAAATTTCTTGCACCAGTGTGACCGAGAAATATAAGGGAACATATGCATCGACTTTTGACACAGCACAGAAGTAAACCTTGTACATTTTGTTTTTATATTATTTGAATTAATATTATCATATACTTTTTCAAGAAAATATATTATTTTTTATTACTAACACAACTTTCAAACTCATAGTGAGACTACATAATTTTCAAACTCATAGTGAGACAACTAATGCAAAATAATATTGAACCGGAATAATATCTTGCCCCGTTCAAGTACTTCGAAACCATAACAATGATCATCCTTTCTTATTTGATAATATTCATGGGATCAAATATGGTAACCAGGGACATCTCAGGCAAAAAGAGAAGATTTAAAAATATATATTTAAAAAATATATATATTGCTATGGTAAAAAGATCATTTAATAGCATGAACAGAGTCCTTTAGAGAAGAATTCACTGCCAAAACTTGAAACAGAGCTCACATTACCTTTGGGTTTTTTACTGTTTCATCCACGCTTAATATTAGGCAAGCTGCCTCAGTAGCAGCATTTATAGCATTGATCTGAAATAAATGATGCAGTTAAATGTAGTTTTAATTGTGTAAATAACACTATAAACAATTAACCAAGTGGGCACGGGACCGATACCTTCACAACTGCTGGCTCCCACACAAAGTTAGCAAATGAATCAGCAATTCCACCAGTGTTGATATCCACCCCATATAGTGCACCCTCACCTGCAAATAGTTTTGCAGCCTCAGTTTAAGGGAAGCACCAAAATAAAACCACCAATAAAATTAGCTAAACCTAACTGTCCAACCTACAATTTACTTTGGCCAATAAAAGAACACAAGGACACCATGGCACAGGGAATCAATGGACACAGCATTTTATTGAATTGGTTAAAGTGACCATATAGCTAGAGTGAAGTCAAGTAGAATATCTTAGTGGCTAGTGCTGAGAAGATTAAATAAAACGAGGCTAACCAGATGGAAGTGCATGTTTCTGTCTCAGTTTATTCAGCACGTCAGTAGCATCAAATCCAGCATTGTCACACAGTTGCCGTGGGATAATCTGTAATATGTTGAGTCCATACTTAAGTAGATATTACAGAAATGAACGATAAATATCCTAACCAATTCACAAAAGATATCTTTGTTCTCGTTAGAAAAACATAATGAATACACACACAAGTTATTTTTCAGGTAGGTAAAGATACACATACACAAACACTATTGCCCCTACAAGGACTTGATTCCTCAACCACTCATGTGGGGAAGAGACACCACTTGAATGGAAGCCTTGGTGGTATAGTATTTGAATCTACACCAAAGGTTTAGAAGACCAGAGTCTTATTTATTAGACAATGCACGCATTTCACCTAAGGTTGCAAATTTCCTTGTCCGATGAGATCCTAACAGCATGAAAGGCGTAAACAATTGGGTAACGTCTCCGAGAGAGGCTTAGTGAAACAGACATGTAAACGGAGACACAGACTACTTGCACATGCTGGCCCACCAAACAAAGTCATTTCTCAAGAATGATAGATTAAGGCCCATACAGTGACACTACCACTTGAATATGGAACACATGCTGATGCTAACGGTTTTGATAGCCATTCCAGAAATTTTGGAGGCAATATCACAAAATGTATTTAATGCTCATATTTTATCATATAGTTACTACGCTACCTTCCCAGAGTTAATTCTCCAGGAACTCTTCTTAAATTATTGGGGTGGATCCATTCCAATCTACTTATTTTATGATCTCATTAGAGAAATCATATAAAGGCAAATCCTATTTACTATGAATAGTTATCTGACATTGACCAAAAAAAAAAAAAAAAAACACACACCTGACATTGGCAATCCTAATTATAAAGATTACCTCACGATACAGTTAGTATTAAGAAAAGTCAAAATATTATATAGAACAGAGCTATAGTTCGTCTTACAGATTTTAAAGAATTCAACTCTCTAAATAATGGTGTAAAATCTCTTGTAAGAGGCACGTGAATAATACATTTAGAGCTTCATTTCTACCACATGTACACCACTTGCTAAATTTAATTCAATGCAAAATTCTGGTACACAGGAGATTCTATCAATATTCTATATTTTGCCTTCGACAAACTAGAGGATCCCTATTTGGCAGACCTGACATTGACATCAACACTCCAGGTGGAGGCAGTATGTCAAGGCTACTAATCAATGATCCTAGAGGTAATGTCTAACCTAGCCCTGTACTTTTTTTCTATCTTTTTTCTAATTGGGACTACAAGCCCCCGCAAATAGGAACTTCAATATCTTAAACGTCAAAGCTAAATAGAGCACACGTTATTTAAAAATTAAAATCTCTGGCTCTCTCGAAATCGCAAGTCTCCATCTTCTCCAAAAGATTCAACCTCATTAAATTATCATTCTTGCGACGAGGTATAATATTGTACATCCTAGTTGAAGGTTCAGACTCTGACACAAAAGAACATGCTGATACTACAGATTCTTAATACAGAGATGTGCACATGGGCACACCTTTATCACCTGTTAAATCCACCGTTTTATCTAAGCATCTTCTATTTTTTAAAAGACCCAAACAGTTTTTACATATAACCATTTTAATTTGCCTTTGGAATCAAAAATCTATTTCCAAAATGGAAGAGTATTCTTATCCAACAGCATGCAAATACTTAATAACAAATTATGAAGAAGGTGCTTGTCCACACTAGTCTATGGAGTGCCCATCAGTTTTGCCACCCATGAACTTCAAAATAGTACTGCTAACAATTAATCGGTCCATATATATTGAAATTATATTCTTTCAGGAATTAAGAATAGAACTCATGCAAAATAGACTCTTACCTATGGAAGGATAGTTCACATGGTGACATTCAAGTCCCCCCACACCCTACACCACAAAACCTATATTACATGACTCAAAAATTGCATTTGAGTACCCATGTCTGACTGAAAATGCACCTAACAAGAATATCCAATAATTCAGGTTTAATAAATAATTTTACATAAAACTAAGATTTCGTTTTATTAATTACATTACTGCTTCAAAACAAGTGAAGTGCTTCCCTGACCACTCTTATCTTACAAAAAAAATATTTTACTGGTAAATAACAAAAGCATCATATTAAATAATATTAAGATTTCGTCCAGATCCTACATCCTTCGATTTGAGTATGTGACAAATATGATACTAGTATTATATCTGCTCCCAATATCCATGCCTACAAAAATGTAACAATAGAAAACGAGATAAAGGGACATCCACACTCCAACAAATTGTATATGGTTTTTATGCACGATGACATGTTGCTTGAAGATGATTCGTAATTATATGCACTTATATTTTGAAAATCTAATGAAATTCAAAATTAGTTCAAACTAACTTATGTGACCATGATTAGTGATGCATAATAGGGAAAGTAAATAATTAAAATAATTCTAAACCTTCAAAATCATCCCAAACTTATAAATTTATAATATTGCAAACAATCACGATCACCGTCTGGCAAATTGAGACTATTTGCTCAATTAAAGGGTTAACGGAATGGAGGCCAAAAGACGGGAAAAGTAAAGTTCCAAAAATGAACTAAAGACCAACAGTGTTGCAAATGAACCATGCTGCTCATTAACAGCTCAGACTAGGCTAATTAAGAAGCTTGATCAAGCTCATTTATTGCTAAACAAGGTCACATACTAATTTTCCAGACCTGGATACAAGACAAGCCAAGTTTCAACAGCCCCAATTCATTAAATTTGCAAATAGCTGATATAGATTAAATTTTTTTAATAATAGTCAAACCTACACAAAATACTTTAAGAATAACTCTGACATACTATAAAGCCAATGCCATCTGCAATTTTTTTGAAGTTCTTTGACATTGCAACTTCTACTTACTAGTTTTACACATAATTCATGAGCAGATCAACAAAATAACCGCATATTTAATAGCAAATTCATATTATTTGAAACTACAGATATAGTAGCTAATTTCTAGGGCCCGAACAAGTATACCATTTTCATGGAATTCACACATGAAAAGCCAGTAACCTACCTCAAAAGCTTTTGCATAGGAGTTGATAAAAAGCTGAGATTTCCCTGCTATTGTGCGTGCATGCTGCCTCAAGTACCGGCTTATCTCCATCTGCAACAGAGAACAACATTTCCCATCACTAATGTACTACATATCCTCAAATTTGCATAACTATTGTCTAAAGAGTAGTGATAAACCCATACATCTATAGCACCACCACCAGCAACCACAGTAGAGTTCTTCATAGCCCTTCTAACTATCATGATTGCATCATGTAAACTCCTTTCAGCTTCTTCAATAAACTGAAAATCATCAAGACAACATCAAGTTGACATGAAAATGAAATATATAACAATATGCATTATTGCAATCATGACGCACCTGATCAGCTCCACCGCGAAGAACAATAGTGGCTGTCAGACCTGATGGGCATCCACTAAATATATTGAAACGCTCATTTCCAACTTGCCTCTCCTCGAAAAGCTCACAAGTCCCAAGAACCTTTCAACAAATCAAAGTTCAATAATTTCAGCAATTTGCAAGGCAAAATAACCATTGATTATTAGCATGTAGAATAACTCTGTAAGATTCAGGAATCCTTATAGTAAGGTATCTTGAATAATTGAATGACAAAAGGCAAGGAAACCTCATCAATAACATTATTGACAGATGTCTGTATAGTTCCACCAGTGGCGGCTGCAACCCGCTGCAGATCCTCTTCAGCAACGCGACCAGCACAAAATATATCTCGATCTGCAAAATACTGGTACCAACAAACCATGTAAAAGAACTGTTTGTGGAACTCAACAATCTTCTGTTGAAGCAGCCACACAAGTCACAATCAATATTTTATTTATCTCAATTATATCATCAACCAAAAACTCAGTAACGGGGAAAATTATGAACAAATCAACATAACAGCAGAATAATATTATACGCTTTTCTAGATCCCATCCACATGAATTCATATGAAGTACATGTCAATGCTATCAAAGTAATAAACCTCCTTTTTTCCAACGGATATCATGTAACAGAGTTGGGAACCAAAGATTCACATACTAAAATATTATATGGGGAAATCTAGAGATAAAATTACCATTAGCTTTACAACCAATTAGGAAAGAAGAGAATTACTGAATATTTGTTAAATATTTAAAATCTTGACAGAAGTTAATATAAATTGTTTAAGTTCCATAAGAACCCTGAATCAAACATAAATGGATCTAAAAAAGGGAAAGTCACCACCTGTGTGCCTAGATCACCAATAGCCAACCGTGACAGAATAATTTTGGCCCCACTTTGCACACATTTATCCAACTTGTCATAAATGATATTCCACTCAGCATCAACAATTGACTGATATTGTAATGGATCGGAAAGTCTGCAAATGGACACCAAAAATAGTTAGGTACAATAAACACTGGCTTTGAATGACTAAATGTTGAAAGATAGCCAAAATACCCCGACCTTATCTCTGCATTTTCTTTCTCTGATTTCAGTTCCAATTCAATGTTTAGCAAGAGTATCTTGGGATTTACAAACTTCTTTGGTTGTTGTTCAAACCCCGCATATGAAAATGTCTTTTTAAAGGCAACACCATTTACAAGGAAAGAATCCCTCATGGTACCTCCAGGAACCTATAAAAGCAAACAAAATTTCCAATTATACATGAACACTCACATGCAAAACACACACACACAGAAAAGATGAATAACAAATAATAAACAGATAAGAACGATCAAGTTGTTGTAGCCAAAAAACACAAGTATGAAGTACATTCTGGCAAGCAGAAGCTTTATGCAAACCAAATGGACTAGCTCAACTAACTGCAAAGTCAGCAGACGATGAACAAAAAGTATTACCGCATATACAGTGTTATTAAAGACCCAAGGCGCTAGAGGTCCTTTGGAGCCTAGGCGCAAGGCGCACGGTGAGGCGCGCGCCTGAGTGAAGTGAGGCGCAAAATTGAAAATTTAAACTACCATAAAAACATTCACATCTCATAAGTCATATCAATATTCTAAAAATTAATAACAAATATAAAAAAGTAAATCCATCAACTAAACAAGCATCCAATAACTATAAAACAGAGCACAAATTTGTTTTCTTGAAAGGCAAAGCATAATTTGTTTTTTTGAATGGCAAAACAAAGCACAAAAAGAAATAAATATGTTAAGTGTTAATCAAAAAAATAAAAACTGTTAACAAGAAAAGAAAAGAAAAAACAGAGGAAAAAAAAAAAAGACGCAAAGACAGAAGAAATAGATGAAGAGAGGTAGACGAGAAGAGAGAAAAAAAGAAGGAAAAAATAAATAAATAAAGAGAGCCCCAAATAAATAAATAAATAAAAGGCAGAGAGAGGAGAACTAGACAAAGATAAGAAGAGAGGAGTAGAGGAGAAGATAGAAGAAGAAGAAGAAAGAACTGATGTGGCTTCGTCGTTCATCTCTGCAACTATGGCTTCGTCGTTCGTCTCACGATCTCACTCATTCTCTGTTCGGTTGACACTTTGACTCTTGGAATTTCTTCTTTGTTTATTCTTTTGAACAAAAGTTTCTTCTCTTGTACACTTGAGCCTTCATATTTGTTAATTAAGTTGCCAAAAGTACCCTTTCTGGCTTAAGAAATAGAATAATCATAGTCTTTAAAAAGAAATCAGCTAGGCGCGCCTCACAAACAGGGACGAGGCGCAACCGAGGCGCGCACCTAGTAAACATCAATGAGCCTAGGATGACAACAGGCGCTAGACATGCGCCTCGAGCCTAGCGCGCCTTTAACACCACTCCGCATATACAAGCAAAGTCCAGACATACAGGTGCAAATATACATCCTTATGTACCAGCTTCGATCATCCACCCAGTATGGGCTAATTACTAATTTGTGTCACTTTATACAAATCATTAACAACTGATGTATGATCCAGATGAGAGGTCCAGGTTGAGCAAATAACTAGCACATATCACAAAAAACATAAACAAAGATTAGAGATAGGATATGTATGTTGGATTCTGAATCAGGTCATGGTCCGCACTTCCTTGACCCTCAAAACTCTTTAAACAGTCTCCTACATACCAAATCTAGATTTCAGCACCATAGTGTGCATGACGGTCATGGGTAGAGGGAACTTCTCTTCTTCAATCTCTGCAAATCAAGACAGTCTTTTTCTTTTTTTTTTAAAGATTGTTAAGTGCAGAGACTAAGTACTTAAGGCTAATTCTTTGCTTCTACGAGATTGGAAAATTATGTGATTTGGAATTCTTTCAAACATTTTGGGTGTTTTATTGTGTGTTCAGAGAGAGACAGAGAGAGGGAGAATGGGAGAGAGATCTTAACAGTGCTTTTGGATCCCCAAGTATCTTTACACTACATGAATTATGTAGTACTATTAACATGAAGGTTATGTACTAGTATTACGAGCAATGAAGTGGCACCTATGCCAGATGTTTGGCCAGAATGCATTTCCTTGTAACCTTTAGTAGCCTTACTGCTTGGATTATTGTTTTTTTATTTGTTTGTAATGCTCTTTTTTTTTTTTCTTTTTTTTTTTTTTTTCCTTTTTTTAATGTTTCTAATGCTTTTCTTATGAATGTATTAACCATAAATGTTGCATACTGAACACTTCCTCAGATACTATGATGCATCGCCAATACTTTCACACATCACTAATGCCATACTTTCTAGATCTGCAATTATAAAAATAGATAGACGAAATTAAAAAATAAAATAAATAAAAAACTAGAACTTTTTTGAAGTGGCTTTAATTCGTTAATGGTTCAATTACTGACTTTACCAATGCCAAGATTTTTGGGTTTGCAACTATTTAAAATGGCTAGACCAACAAATGAATCTAGTATAAGTTCCAATTCATTACACAATTTCATTACTGACTCTACTGCACTAATAATAGTATAAACAGATACTAGGGGTTTGCTTGGTTTGTCACTCAAAAAAGAGTTTTGAACTTCAAAAGCAGAAATCTGTTTTCAGAAAACTATAGAAACTAAAAACAGGCCTTTTTATTAACTCCAAAAGCAGAAATCTGTTTTCAGAAAACTATAGAAACTAAAAACAGGCCTTTTTATTAACTCGGTTTTCAAAAAACAGTTATCAGAAACTGTCAACCTAGCAAATTTTTATACAGTTTTCCAGTTTTCAGTTCTCAAAAAACAGAAAACTGACCCAAGCAGACCAGATTTTTTTAACTCATATGTAATTCTAATTATGGTCATAAACGAATGGCAGTGTGTAAGTTCAAATATAGCTCAGAGACCAGAGCTAAAAAAGTAGTTAAGCCTTTCTAATAAATTTACTAGCACACATTGAAACAATGAACAGTCTTTCATACCAAGTATCAAAATATAAGTCATAATAACAGATATTATACTTATATAGATATATTCAAGGTTCAGTGCCAAACATAAGTACCTTCTTTATACCAATCATATTTAGCCTATCTTCATTCCCAATTGCAATAACAGCATCCACAACCATTGACGCAAAGAACTCTTTTTCTCCACCAATGAGCTTTGAAGAGAGCGTTGTAGCAGCACATTTAGCTAATAAAGTTTTCTTTTCACTCAAACTTTTCCCCTCTATACTGACAGCTAGTTCTTTGATCTTCTCAACGGCCTAACAGAAATTGTGCAACATGCAATATGAGTACCATGCCTAACGCCTCAGCCAAAACTGCTACAAAAAAAAATATTCCCAAAAACATACCAAATAGCTTGCAGTCCGATAACTCCGTATCAGATTTTGAGGATGGACCCCATCCTCGATAAAAGGTTTGGCCTCCTTCAGAAACTCCCCGGCAAGAATAACTACCGTAGTGGTTCCATCACCAACCTACAATAGAATCACATTGGCAAATGTTCTCAAACTTGTAGCGGAGAAGGTTTACTAAAAATAAAAATAAAAATAAAAATTTGGAGCAGATAAAAACCATGACAGGTAATACACAAAAAACAGAGAAGTGACAACTGCCACAAAGAATCAACCACATCAAATAGCTATTAATTTATAATGATTTAGAGGATTATATCTATTTTTGACAAGAGCATTATTATTTTAAGCTCTCCGTGATATGAGTTTTTTTTTTTTTTTGGACAAGTATTCTCAATGATAGAGTGTTAGCAAATATTTGGCCTCATATATTTCCACTCCAACTTCTCGTGTTCTCAGCAACAAATAGAGAGTTAGGGCTAATTAAAGACAACAACAACATGGATGAACACTAACATCATACAAACAAGTAACCTGTATGACAATCCTACAGAAATTCAAGACATATGAATTTCTGACTCATATTTCAAAGTAGAGTTTAACATTATCCCATTCAAGTACCTTGATCACATTCACATTTTTATGGCACAGCTTATTTGATCAGAAATAATCTTCAATTAATTAGATATATCAACAACCCAAGCAACAAATAAAATTATAATAGCATTACCTCAGAGTCCTGTGATTTGGCGATGTCAACAAGAATCTTAGCAGCAGGATGAACAATGTCTAGAAGCTTCATTATGGTGGCGCCATCATTAGAGATGGTTGTGCTGCCTTTATCATCATGGATCAGCTTGTCCATACCCCTCGGACCAAGTGTGGTTCGCACCACATCGGCCACCATCATGCAAGCATTTATGTTGCTCACCAATTGTGCCTTGCCCTGGGATGTATCAGTCCCTTCCTTCAGCAATATAATCTGCGGTTGCTGTTGTTTCCCATCGCCAACAAAAGCAACAATCAAAAACAGTTTCAGAGAACTTAATCAATTAAGTTGATCTAGTAACAAAGCAGTCCCCTGTTTGGATGGCGAGAAACATAGAAATAAAAAAGAAAACAATATTTCTAGGGTTTTGTTGTTTTGGTTCCGGAAAATGAAAAATTCGCCACGACTAAGCCTTATGTTGTATTAGGCTTAGCTGATTGCAGATTTTAGTTTTCTCGAGTAGTCGAGTCCCAAATGCAGAAAAATCCATGATTCAAAAAACTGGTTCTTCACTTGCTGTTGTTTCCCATCGCCAACAAAAGCAACAATCAAAAACAGTTTCAGAGAACTGAATCAATTAAGTTGATCTAGTAACAAAGCAGTCCCCAGTTTGGATGACTAGAAACATAGAAATAAAAAAGAAAACAATATTTTTAGGGTTTTGTTGTTTTGGTTCCGGAAAATGAAAAATTCGCCACGACTAAACCTTATGTTGTATTAGGCTTAGCTGATTGCAGATTTTGGTTTTCTCGAGTAGTCGAGTCCCAAATGCAGAAAAATCCATGATTCAAAAAATTGGTTCTTCACGTTTTTTACATTTTCTCAGCAGCCAATCGCAGTATTAACAGATTCGGAATCACTATGCAGTATGAGCACACAAGACAGATACATATATACATATATAGACAGAGAGAGTAAGAAAACGAGAGTGCTTACCAGCATAGCTGCCATTGTGAGCGGCGAAAATGAGAGAGAGTAGAGAGAAAGCTAGGGTTACAAATGCGAGAGAGTGTAGAAGGAAGAGGCGGCGTCGGTAGTCAGATTCCGGCGAGGAAGTGGACCGCGGCGGAGTAGAAGTAGTAGCGGCTAGGGTTTATCTCACAACAGTGACTTTGCTACTTCCTCTTTCAGTGACTTGTGAGATTTTTTGGTTCTCTCTCGCGGTCTCTCTCGTCTCTTCCATTTCTTTCGACTTTTTAACCAAAATTACAATGTGAGGGCTCATTTTTAGATAATTTACAAAAATTAGCTTAAATTGTGATAATTACATTTGTTATTTGTTAATTGTCAACTTATGCTTTGACGGGTATTGTTTATCAAACATGGGCCAAATTAATGTGCTATGTTTGGGTTGGACCTAAGAACCCCTTCTTTTTTTTCTTTTTTTTTTCTTTTTTTTTCCAATGGTGTATATCTATACTGTTAAGGACCTGAGTATTATCCTTGATACAATGTCCTAGATTAGCCTAATTTAGGACGTCATTGACATGAGATCAAGTACAAATATGGATTCATATAAAAAAAATAAATAAATAAATAAATAGAAAAGAAGATAAATTATTCTTTACTTTTCTTGAATTTTGGCCTAATTATCTTTATATTAAAGTTTTAACAAATTAACTCTGAACCTTTATCAAACTAACTTGAACTGTCTTTTAATGTACATTTACTTAAATGCCCTCAAATATAAGTGGATAATTATTAAAGTACCTCCAATTTTAATATAATATAGTATTCAATAAAAATAAATAAATTACACACGTACCATCTCTATTTCTCTCTCCACCGCCGCTTTAATCCCTATCTCTCCACCGCCCCTCTTCTACCACCTCTTTTGTAATCTCTTTTCTCCACTCACTCATCATCGTGCCTCCACTCCCACCAATGCAACCTCTAACTATTGTTGCGTAGCCATGCTTTTCTCCTCCACCACCTGTGACATTTCACAATTTTTCATTTTTTCGGCATTTTTTTTATTCTTCGGATTACTTTATTTTCATGCCTCGTTTTACATGTCACGCACCGATTAGTGTGTCACAAAGATTCCAAGAGTGATTTAGGGCATTTATTTGAGTTTAGAACTCTTTGAAATGTATTTTTAGTCATTTCGTCATTTTTTAGATTTTTGATCCTGGAGGTCCCGTGTGGACCCCACGCCCGGACTTCTTGTGCTCGGGCTATTTTTTTTTTGGGTTCATTGCATTCCTTATTTAGAATTTGATGTATATTTATTCGTGGATGTGTTTAATTAGACTAATGAGACATGTTAGAGTTATATTGCATGTGAGGGGCAAAATGATACTTTTGGGGATCAAAGAGGGACCCACATTGACTAAAGCATGTGGCTAAAGGACAAAGGGTCACCATTTTCTGCCTATTCTCTTCTCCCCCTACTAAGACCTTCCTCTCTCTCTCTAAAACCATAATTTCAAGCCTCCATTTCACCTTCTTCCTCCAAGATTTGATCTTTGCCATCGAAGGCAAAGTTGTAGATCTCGACAAGAGCTTCAAATTGATCAGAGTAATGCTCTGTTTGGGTGACATTAGGGATTTCAAAATTTGGGGTTTTTGCATCAAATGAGATAGAGTTGTCTAATTGATATATTCCTTAAGTTTTGGTAGCTAATTCTATGTTTTTCCCCCTCTTTAGTATGTTAATTTGAGATGTATATGTGTAATTGATGATTAAGGTTTGTTTAATTTGAAATTTATGTAAATTATCAAGCTATGTTTGTTTACTTGTTGATTTTGTGGATAAATGTGGACTATGTGCTATAAATAATGTTATATGATGAATAACATGATGGAAGTATGCTAAATGTTTTGACATGCTAATTACTTGAGTTACCTTTCAATTGATGTGCAATTATCAATTAAGTCTTTATTATGAGCATGAATTTTCCTTAATGTTGAGAAAACATGTCAATATGTGAAGTGGTTGATGTTCATATATATCATCTACACAACATTGATAAGGTTTCATGAGCATACGAGTTATGTGTTTTGAGATACATGTATGGAATTATGAAAAGTTGAAAGTGTGGATTTGAAAAGTTTTGGGGAAAAAGTTTTTCTCAAACCAGGCAGTTGGAGAGGTACCCCTTTGCCAACGGTGCTAGCTAGTTAATAGGGACACGGGAGGTACCTGTGAGTAATTTAGCGACCTCGGGCCCCAAATGGTAGTTGGGAGTTACCTTTGCTAGGGACGACTAGCAAATTCTCCTTAGGGATGGCGGAGGTACCAAAGTCTGGTTAGTTCACAAGTTTTCGATATCAGTGTGTGGATATTCGAGGGTATGTGTGTGTTATGCGGTCGCATAGTGTAGCAATGCATGTGAATGATGATAATGGTTACTTAATGATGGAAACGTTGTATATGAATCCCTAGTATGATCCCTTTGTCGCATTCATATTATTTGTGTGTAAAGCACGAGATTACTTACCTTGCTTAAGGAGATGCTACTTAGGCAATCTCTACTGGGACGTTTTTGTAACGACCCGAACCCGTAGGTCCGAATCACCAAACGGGTCCTTACCCGAACCCGAGGTTACTTAAGTCAAATGCTATTAAGTCCAGTGTTATCGTATCATTAATACGTCGTATACGTGATCCATTAAAACTCTAATCAACCATCCAAAACATGTGACTAATTGTGCCAAAAGAAAGAAGCAAGGTATGCAACCAGCAACAAACCGATCGATCGAAATGGAGCTTCGGTCGACCGAAATAGCTCCTGTACCAGTCAACTAAAGTGGCTATTTCAGTTGGCTAGTTGTGGCCTGAAAAGCAACTGAACTCTCTGGACGGTTTGGTCGACCAAAGTGACTATTTCGGTCGACCGAAATGGTCCTGCGGGCTAAAAATTTGCAGAAAAACACCATACACTTGGGAGTGAACAATAATAATAATAATAATAATAATAATAATAATAATAAAAGGGTTTTTAAAACTGAGTGATTCCATACCATACACATACAAGATTGATGAATATAAATTACAACATGCACCTAGAAGTATATCAACACCGTTATACATGGTTTTTTACAATCTTAAGCAAAAACACAAAGGTTTACAAAATATATATTTCCAAGAACTTCATTTGGAACTTTGCAAAAAGGCCTAGGCTACATGTACAAAATATAACATCAACAAAAGTCCCAATCCCGTCCAAAATTGTGGTGGGTTGTCATCCGCCACTTCTTTTCCCGAACCTGAAAAATGTTAAAATAATGGAATAAGCATAAGCTCAGTAGGAAGTGTCTAATACACACTTCTTATATCCCCGTGAATCCATACAATGAATAGATAAGAAGTGAATGGGATCATGCCATTAGGAAAACACAGATTCTCAGTCACAACAACAAGTATATAGCAAATGTCAACCAATCACATATTTACCACAATGTCGTGAAGTGCAATGTTATGCAAACGTCGCTCCCCATTTCTGAAACATTTCTGTTTTAACTTTCAAACCGTTAATGTAATCCGACCCAAGGCACCTCCAAGGCGTCGCATCCGACTTAGTTAGCTCAACCACACTCCCTTCTAGTCTACACTGACACCACGGACCACTACACTTCATTTTGTGCTTTTGGCATAAAAATTCAAGTTTCAAATTTAAACTTGGCCACATTACACTTCATTTTGTGCTTTGGTATTGACATGCATCAAGTTTTGGCGCCGTAGCTGGGGATTTTGGCAATGTCGTATTTTGGAAATCAATTAGGAATTAGTACCCTTTTGATCTTGTCTTTATCTTTATTTTATTTTGGTTACTTATTATGTTTGTTCTTGATTGGCTAGGTGCATTGAGGCAAGGAAAGTGAAGCAAAGGGAAATTCTAAAGCAAAAAGAGCAAGCTAAGCATAAAAAGCTAAAAATCTAAAAATTGCAAAGCAAGGCAAAACAAAAGGTGAAAATAAATTGAAGTTACTTAAGGACCCTTTGTGAGCTTTTCTAAACTCTCTCCCTACTTAAAACGTCGACCCGCATGGAGGCAAGTCTTCAATTTCATAGATAAATCGTGAGTCTGCGTGGAGGCAATTTACTTTTCTTGCATATTGTTCAAAGCATGGGAGTATGGGATAAATATTTGTGGAGGTTTGTTGATTGAATTGTTGCATAGGAGAAGTGCTTGTTATATTCTTATTGTAATTTGTTGATTGTTTTGATAGTGCATGTATGGTCATAGATCATTGAATCTGACCCTTGTCGCACTTAATTTGAATCTTGAATCCATTATTCGTAATCCTATCACCCCATTTCATCAATGGAGAACATTAATGAGGACTATGTGGAGGACCTTGGTCACATTGACCAACAAGGTGTCCTCCACCCTAATGTGCATCATGACGACATTCAAGTACCATTAGGCATGGTAAGACCCTTCTTTGCATAACAACAAGGCCATGTTCCATTGGGAATGCCTCGGCCAAATTTTGTTCCACCACAACCTCCCATTATTCAAGGCAATCAAGGTGCTCATGAAGTGCCACCGGTTGTGAACCCTCCTCTTGCTTTGAGAGCTCACTCTGTTTCAAATGAGTACAATGCACCTATATGCATTCAACTTCCCCCATTTAGAGTATACCATTATAAAATCAAACCACAAACTATTCAAATGCTTTCCAATTATCATGGACTTCCAAGTGAAGAACCTTACAAGCATTTAGATGAGTTTCTTGAAGTGTGTTCCACCATGCAATACATGATGAGTGCTGAAAAGTGCGTATTTAAACCCTTTAAGCTTAGATATTGTAGAACCTTTATCTATCTTATTTTCCCGTTTTGTATTAATTTCATGTTATTTCCATTTTCAGGTCCTTATCCCCAAAATAAGCTAACTCAGCCAAATAAGAGTAGAAATGAAGCAATTCTGGGATGAATCAAAGAAAGGAGCAAAGTAGGGCAAAAGGAAGCAAAGGGTGGAATTTCAGCAACTTCGATCGATCTCAAGAAAAGTTCGATCGATCCAACTTTCATCGATCTCAGCACTCCAAGATAGATTCAGGCCATGATGTCATCTTCAGAGATCCCAAAAAGTTCGATCGATCAAACATCATTCTCTGATCGATCGAACTTTCTTGTCCTTATCCATATGCCAGATCTTATCCAGCTATACCACCCTACTAACCACTTTTGTCCTTTTCCCAAAAATATCTTCAAAATATCTCAGATTTGT